TCTTCTTCTTCTTTTTTTTTTTTGTAAAAGTGTAACAAGTTTAGTTCCAACACAACAGTACACATTCTTATTTCCATAAAATCTCCAGGATCCACTCCATTTATTTGTGTCTTAGACAGGCCCTTCCCATAGGTGGTCCTAAGCATCCAGAAACCGGACTTTTCCTAAACTCCAAAAAGAAGTCAGGATTGTGGCTTGGGTCACAGCCAGTCACTGGGGCCAGGGAGATGACAGGCTCCAAGGGTCCTCCTAGGTCACACAGAAAAGGCCCCATTCAGACCCTGAGAATGAGGGTGGAGCGGGGGTTCCCCCAAAGAAAACAGGTGGAACAGGTGCTGTGACAGCACAAATGTCACCCCGTCCTCTGCACAGCTTGGTTTATAAGGGAGACCCAGGTCAGCTTGGGAAAAAGCATTGACATAGTGTCTGTCTCAGGCCTGCTCGTGTGCTGTGTGACCCCAGGGAGATACCTTTCCCTCTCTGGTCCTCAGCTGCCTCATCCATACACTTGAGAAAGCTGGCTTGGCTCACTGGTTTCCAACTCTGCTTCACCCCAGAATCACAGAAGTTTTCTAAAGACATATACTGGCGTCCATGCTCTGCCCCAGACCAGATTAAATCCCAGGGATAAAAGGACTTTGGTCATTCTTAAAAAGAGGCTCAGACAGACATGAGAGGCACCAGTGAAACAAACAAGCAGAACCTTGCAAATCCTCCAGCCCCAACCACGAGGGAACGGGAAGTTTAAACCCTGCATTTAATGGGGCTTAAGCTCAACCTGGCATGCTTGGTTTCTTACAGTCACACCACAGTGAAGAATGTGAAACAGAGAGGGTGGGCATCTTGCCCAAGGCCACACAGCAGGCCCTGACTCAGAATCCAGCACCCACAGGCTGGAGGGTGGCAGGGGGCCTGCAGGGCTCAGAGTTGAGCCACCTGCCACATCCTCCCCAGGGTGGTTCTTTGGCCAAAGGCGCAGCGTGGTGAGACCGATCAGGCGCTGACCTCATGGTTTTCCCCAGCTGCTTCCTCCATTTCACTGAGCAAGGCCCCAGCCAGGCCGAAGTCAGCGGAAGCAGCAGTTTGAGGTCAAGTTTAAGATCCCCAAGCGGGAGGTTCCTAGAGTGCTGAGTTTCTCACTGATGTCCCAGATGATGCCGGACCAGAGCATGGACTTTGATGTACTTCCGGCCTTTGGAGCCCTAGTTAAGCTTCCCAGGTATATCCTGGGGAGGGGAAGAGCAGAGGCAGGGTGGTCCTGGACAGTTACAGAGGTTGTGTACTGCACAACTGGGCCATACCTGTTCTCACTGCAGGTACTATAGAAGTCGAAGCTTATCACAACTTCCTGCAAAGTGTCTTCCTAATTCACACAAAGATACCATAGGGACAACCAGTGCCCCAGGCTGGGTTCTATCCCAGCGATTCCACTAGCTTGCCCAGTGACTTTGAGCAAGGGATTTCTCACCTCCTTGGCCTGCCACGGACCGGTCTTCCTTACTCCGTGCCTGTCTCTTCTCCAGCCACCAAGGGAAAGGTGCTGAACCAAGTACACACAAATCTGAGTATCTCTTCAGTTCTGGGTTTGCTAAAGACAGTGCAGGGGTAGAAACTTCCCTGGGTCGAAATATACTCGCTTTCTGAGCTCTGGGGAGGAAAACAGTGGAGGAGAAAGTGGTGTGGAATTTCAGGCCCTGGGTTTGGGGACCAAGAGTTCACCTGTTGAGGAACCCTCAGGGGCCTCCAAGCCGGAGCCGCCGCAGCCGCTGCAGTAGGCGTGCGCGCTCCCTGCGTGGCCGAGAGGGGGCGGCGTGGAGGAGAGGGCTGCCCAGGGCGGGGAGCAGGTGCGGGGAGGGGAGCCCCGTTCTCACCGGCCCCGCTGGTCAAGCACTGGTACGACTCTGTGTCCCCGGGGTGGCAGAGCAGAGAAAGGGTCCGGACCCGGCGCTGGGCCCTCGGCTCTCATCTGCAAAATGGGACGGGACCGCGTCCGAATCAAGAAGAGGCTCGGGGCGGCGCCCTGCAGCTCCTCGGAGCCGGGTGGACCCCAGTGCACCTCCTGACACGGCAGCTCCAGGTCCCCACGGCCCAGGCCTCGGACCCTGCTCACAGGGCAGAAAACAGCTCCTTTGTACAGGCGGCCTCCGGGCGCTGAGGGCGGAGCGGCGGGGCCCCCTGCGTGAGTCTCGGGTGCACAGTGATGCAGTGTCTGGGACGACTCTGATCTCCCCAAGCTCAGGGCCGCCGGGGGGTCCTCTCCGTCGTGTTCCCACCCGGCTTCCCCGGACTCCGGACCCGGGGCTGTGGATTCTGCCTACCTGGGTCAGGGTCAGGGTCAGGGCTGGGGCAGTCAGGTGGCTGTGGGCGGCGGGGCAGCAGATCCTTGAATTGGGTTTCAGTTTCCTCGGAGGATCCCTCCTGTAGGCGGAGCAGAGGCCGCTGAACTCTGCCTTTCCTGGGCTCTGGAGACAGAAGTGGGAAACTGCAGCCTTGGACGGACAGAGCAGTTGTCCGGAACTTGAGGGACGGTTCCCAAGCGCAGCCACCAGCCAGCGACCCGGCCTGGACAGGGACATGGAGAACTGAGGGTCCCACGTGTCCTCCGTCCCCGCTCAGCAGCTGGACGAGTTTATCGAAGAGCAGCTGAGGCCCTACGAGGACTGTGAGAGGCTGACCCAGATAGCGGTGGATGCCTCTGCATCTTCCTGTGGGTGGACAGCTTCCCCCACGTGCTGGGGGTGGCCACGGTGAGTCCAGGGCTGGGAGGCCCGGGCAGGCTGAGCAACAACGCGCTGCTGAGCCCTGGGCGGGACCCTGAGAGAGAGAGAGAGAGAGAGAGAGAGAGAGAGAGAGAGAGAGAAGGGCTCTTCTATCAGCTCTTCCCATCCAGCTGTGTGACGCTGGGCAAGCTGCTTAACCTCTCTGGGCCTCAGTCCCTCAATCCGTAAAGTGGGAGTCAGAATAGAGCTCACTGCCTGCAGTGCCACAGGCTTGAGTGTACAGTGCTCAAGCATACGGTGCACCGGGCTGGCACATAGTTAGTGTTCGATGTTGTGTCTTCCTCCTCCACTACACAGGGGTAAACTGAGGCCGGAGGAACTCTGCACAACTACTCCCCAAGGTGGCTCTGTGGCTGCTCAAGAACAAGGAGAGGGCTGGTGCTCATGGGTTAGAATTGTTTGGTGCCGGGGGCCCAAACCCCAGGTCTGGGGGCTGTGGAGAGGGGGCACAGGCCACACCCCCACTGCAGCACCCCATCTCTGTCGCTGTAGGAGCTCCCAGGTGAGCTAACTTCACACGGAACAAGGTCAGGCAGAGGGTCCCATCCACCGGGAAGCCGGGTGGGGAGCAGGGTCTTAGGGCCCCAAGGGACCCAGGGCCTCCCACAAGGCCAGACCGAGAGCCACCACTGAGGAGCCCAGGGTTCACCCAGACCACAGCGGCCACCCTTGGCTCACCTCCTGCAGTCTGTGCTCCTGGCCAAGGCCGAAGACACACGCACTGCCCAGCCATTGAGACAGAGGGCATGAGGGCCACTGCACCCCCAGACTGAGGTGAGTTCGCTTAGTCCCACGTGTCAGAGCCGCGCTTGCAGTCACCTGCCTGAGGCGACCTGTGCCTAACCACTGGGCTAGCCCGCCTGTCCACATTAATGTTTCCCACACTGGGTGTGGGGGCTCACACTGCTGATCCCAACACTCAACAGGCTGAGGCAGGAAGATCGCCAGGAGGGAGAAGCCAGCCTGAACTACATAGCAAGACCCTGGCTGATAACTGCAGCAGAAAAGAAAGTTCCCAACCCCACCCTGAGAGCCCTGGTCCTCATCCAATCAGCACCCCCAACCCCAGGCAGCCGCTCTCCCAACTTTATCAGTACAGATTCATTACACCTGTTTCCAAACTTTCTGTAACTGTTGGGTGGTCAGTCACCCCTGCTTACCCAGGATGAAGATTTTTTTCCTGGAATGTGGGACTTTTGGTGTGAAGGCCTGGAACATCCCAGGTACACTGGGACAAGTGGGTCACCCTATAGACATGACATTGTGCCCTGTGTGCACTTTGGTGTATGGATTTTTTGACCATCACATTTATGAAATTGATAGTGCTGAACAGGTGGTGGTTTTTTCATTGTTGTATAGTATTCCATAGCATGGATATAACCATATCTGTCTGTCTCAATGCCAGGGGCCATTTGAGTTGCCTCCAGTTTGGGACCAGTCTGTAAAACACTGCTATGAGCATCCCCACCAGCCCTTTGGGTGGACAAATGGATGCTTGACACTCAATTTTCAGATGATGGTGACGTTTTTAAGCTTCCCCCTGAATTGAGAAATGACATCACCTTCTGGAGTCCCCTGTGAGCGGAAAGAGTCAAGTCCCCCATCTGCCCCTCTGTTGCCGGTAGGGTGGCTCCTATGGCAGGAAGACAGTCTTGAGAGGCAACTCGGACGGCACCATCGTCTTCTTCCTGAAACAATTAGAACAGTTCCAGGATCAGGTGAAAAGCCCTGGTAATATTCTGAACGCAATCGCGCGTGAGGTGGAGGAGCGTCGGCGTGTGTTCAGTCCACTGCCGCTCCAGTGGGAGCTCCTCAGGACCTGTCAGGGCCTCTTTATCGTGCTGTCCACGCGGTGGCAGAAGATCACCTTTGAGGTGCTGATGCCTTCGATGCCCTGGGTGAGTGTCCTGGGGTGGGGGCAGCCAGGCGGGGTGCAGGGGTCTCTGGGTCCTCTGCGCTGGCAGCAGGAGTGACATCCCTGGGCCCTTGCAGGGTGGGAGGCCCAGGCCATCAGCAGAGCAGGTACCCTCCTGGGCTTCCTGTCCCTCCCAAACCATCTAGACCCCTGAACCTAGAGCTGGGCTTTCAAGACAGTATGCACAGGGTCCCCAGAGGCTCCGCAAAGCCTCAGCCAAGACACAGGGTGAGGAGGGAGGGCTCCTCACTCTTCAGCCCTGTGCCTGTCATGGCCACACCTGAGGCTTGACAGCCAGGTCACTGGCGGAGGAAGAGGATGCAGACCACCCCTGGGGGGTCCAGCTCCAGTGGCACTTGAAATCAGCCCCTCCCCCGGAAGTCAGCCCTCCCTCAGAAACAGCCCCTCCCCCGGAAGTCGGCCCAAGTCAGCCTCTTCCCCGGAAGTCAGCCTGTCTCCCAGGTCAAGGTCAAGGTCAAGGCAGTAACCTTCCATGGGAGACTCCGGCAGACCAGAAAGTGAGGGGGACCAGACCCAACTCCTCCTACCTCCCCAAGTCCTTCCCCGCCATGACTCATGCCGCCGTGAATGTCCCCGGGGTCCTGCCCATCACTGCAGCGCCCCTGACGTCCCACTCCTCACCCAGGCCCATCACTCTCCTTCCTCTGCTTCGCCCTGACCCGGGGCTGGCTCACACGTGGCAGTGCATCTCCCTGCCGCTCTCCAGTCCGCGCGCAGCTGGACACTCTTTGTGCCTCCGCCACACGCTCCGCATTACGCACCCTGACAGCTTCTCCTTGCATCCGGCAGGCTCCTCCCCTGGACGCGATGCTGACAGCCCCTGCTCGCTCTCCTCTGTAGCCCCAGCCTCAGCATCGTACTGAGCCTCACCCTGTGCCTCAGTCCCATCATGCTTCACTCCAGCTTTGTCTGGAATATTCTTTCCCAGACCCTTACTTGTGAAGAATTCCAACTCATTTATGTCTTCTAACCTCCTTCATCTGGTTAGACCCACCTCCTCTGTGCTCCATAGGAATTTCTGCTTTCTTGATCTTGACATACACCACTGACACAAGGTAACTTTTTCAGTTTTCTCCTCTCCTAGTCTTTGAGCTCCGTGAGAGTGGACACCATGATTATATTGTTCTTCCCTGGGCTCTCCTACAGTGTTCATTACTAGCAAAGGTTGTTGGATAGATGGATGGGTGGATGGAAAATGAATGACACGCGGATGGAGGTGGATAGACGGGTGAGAGGTGGATGAAGGAAATGAATGGTGGACGGATGTGAACGGACGAGTGGATCAAGCAACCGGTTGGCTGACTGGTGGGCAAATGGACGATGGATAAATGGATAAGACTCAGCACAGTTATAGCTTAGTCTCAAGCACAAGACTAATACATGCACAGACTTAAGGAATAGAAATTCAGACTCTCCTTTAACAAGTGGAGAACCGGAAGTAAAGGAATGTGTCCAGGGCAGCATGGCCCATTACTGACAGAAGTAGAAGAGAGTCGCCAGTCTTCTAAGCACCAGCCCAGGGCTCTTTCCATCCTCCACAGTTTTAGGGAATGTCTGGGCTAGGAGAGACCTTGAAGAGCAGTTAGCCCAGCCATCATCTGATAAGGAGACACCCAGGGCAGGTCCATGCACCAGGAGTGGGCCGTAGCCCTGAATACCTACCCTGGTCCCACCCACCCCACCGACTGTAACATCGACTAGAAACAATCAGCTTCCAGGGACGAGGACGCTAAGCACAGTGCGCATGCTCCTGCCTCAAAGACGGCTGGAGTCACGGTGCTGGGACAGGCTTGGCTCCAACTTCTCCCAGGAAATCCTGGCTGCTCTCCTTACTGGAAATATGGTGATTGGAAAACAGGCCAGAGCGCCCTCTGCTGGGCTCGTCCCATCTCTCATGGATGATGTGAGAAGCAGAAATGCTCTCCCCCGCCCATGTGGTACCCAGACATGACCACCAGATGGTGCTAGAGCTGCACATGCCAAATGAAGATCCCTTTTCTAGACGGAACCTTCAGAGGGTTTCATAAATGGCTTTATTAAACGTGAACCTGACTTACTTGGCCTCCCTTCTCCTCCACGTTCTGCATCCCTCCTTCAACTCAGTCTCTTCCTCTGCTGCTACCATCCTGCTCTCTTCCCACCCAAAGAACCAGGTGCCTATTTCCTTGACTTCCCAGTGTGTCATCTGTTTCACACACCAGAGAAGAGCATGGCGAGGTTTGTGCATGCCGAGCTAAAACTCCCTGGCGGGAAGTAAACCCTCAAGATCGTCTGGAGATGAAGCTTTGAAAAGCTTCATTTCTGAAACCGGCCTCTCTCTGCATACTGCAGGATCTGCCCTCACCTTCCCAGCCCCTCCAGGGCCCCCGTGCCCCTGACTATGAAATAGAAAGCCCCCCGATGTGCTCAGGAACTGTTGTGCCTGATACCCCAGCTTCCTTCTCCTCTTAGAAGTTAAAGGATCCACTCTTGGTGCCCATTTGGAGCAACTGGATCTTGTCTTGGGTCAGTACTATACTATTTTCTTATAGTCCCTTTATGTATTTATTTAAAAGAGCAAGATTTTATTAAAGATAGGGTCTTACCTGGTTAGTCAGGCTGGCCTTGAGCTTGTGATCCTCCTGTTTCAGCCTCCTGAGTGCCTGGTTTACAGGTCACACAGGCTGCTCATCGCCATTTCAGATGATGCTTTATCTCCTGGGGCAGCCAGCCTGCACCTCGGCTCCTTACAGATCATGCAGTGGGTGTCTGCTACCCAGCTGGCCCTGACCTGCAGCGCTGGCTCACTCTGACTCTCTGAGCCCAGGGCACCTGAACACCAGGCTCCCCATTTCTCCTTTATATCAGGGTTAAGTGAAGATCCCAGCCCCTGGCTCTATCGGGAACTCATCAGAACCATGGACAAGAGCCTCTCCGGGACAGTTTGCTGTCTGCTTCGTCAAACTCCAGCAGCAGTTTTTTAATAAGTATCCCGAAGAAGTGAAGGACTTGATCCTCTTGATAAACTACTGGTTTCAACAGGTAAGTTTTTAAATTATGCGTTCCGCTGTCATTCACTTCCTTTTTATTGACATAATTGACATCTGGGAAAACTCAGCAATCTGAAGTACACAGCTCCATGCACTTTTGCATTTTCAGCAACATAAAAATGAAAAAGTGAGTGTTTCCTGCACTCCAGGAGGCTGCCTTAATCCTGTCCCCAGTCAGTAATCCCCCAAACTCCTATTCCAGCATCACTCACCACCCATTAGTTTGACTTTCCAACAATTATTTTCGGTGCTTGGGCTCAAACCCAGGTCCTCACACTTGCCAGGCAAGCACTCAGCCGCTGAGCTGCTCCCGAAGTCCATCCTGCCTGTGATCAGACACTGCCGCTAGAATCTTGTCTGTGAGACTCAGCTACAGTGCTTCGTGCAGAACTAGTTTTTTGTTTTAGATTGTGTTGTATTAACATACCGCACACTTACTTTTTTCTGTTGCTCGTGGACATTGGGTCCTTCTCAAATGGAAGTGTTAAGAACATACTGCGAGCATTTCCCCAGGTGTCTTCGTGAGTGTAACCCTGCATTGCTTTTGGGTGAAAGTGCAGGCATAAAATTTCTGGGCTCTGAGATGCATGTGTGTGTATACAGTGTCTTGGTTACCTTTCTTGTTGCTGAGGCAAGATGCTTGACACCCAAAACTAAAGGGGGAAAGGTTTATTTAGCTCACAGTCAGTAGAGGTTTCAGTCCGTAATCGGCTGGCTCTGAGGCAGGGTGGGATCACAGAGGAGAAACAGTTCATGGTGGGCAGAAGGCAGCAAAGCAAGCAGGGGAGAAGATGAGCTCTTTCTGTCCCTTATACTATCAGGATTCGGTGGCACCAAACCAATCAGTAGACTGATTTAGTAACTGCACACCCTTAATCCCAGTGCCCTGAATCCTAGCATTGCACCATGAATCAGTCAAGCAGCCCTTTTATCAGCACTGGCTACTTCACCATGCCTGGTTATTCTATGAATCCCAGTCCTCACTTTAAAATTGTGAAGCCACCCCTTATTGGCCTGAAATGTCTCCCTATTATCATTGATGGATTTTCCTTTACAAGATCTGCATTTATAGCCCTAGCTTTTTCACACATTATAGACTCAGACAGGCTACAACCTGCCATCTGCCTTTCTTTTATCCACACTAATAATAGTCTTTCTACCTTGTCTAACACTGTTGATCGTGACTTACTAATTTGAGCAACACTAACTTCCTTATACAGATCTTTATTCTGTAAGATGTTGAGATGGTGGATTTCGACATACGATACATAGTAAGATTGGTCACACAAATGCCATTCTCATATTTCTCCACAGTTTCCTTCTTTTCCATTGTGATTGCTTTCTTTACCTTCCCTTCCTTCCTTGGCTTCTTTTCTAGCCTTTTGGGGGTCATTTTGATAGCAGTAATCATAGCACTTATATAAGGCAGTATCCAAAATCACATCTACAAACACACACACCTGGGCTCAGGCTGACGCTTACCCTTTTCTGGCATCATGAGTCTTTTTGTACAGCTGCACAAGCAGCCAGATTCGGCTCATAACTCAAGACTTCAGTCACAAGTTAAAACTAAAATTCCAGTTGTAACCCAAGTTGTATGTATGTGAGGCCAGTCATAACTCAAGGATCCACTGTACAGGTATGTGTTGGGTTTTATAAAAAAAATTTTTGGTACTGGGATTAAACTCTGGTCCTTGTGCTTGCAAGGCAGGTGGTGGCACCACTGAGCTAAATCCCTGGGCCCTCAGTTTTTTAATTTTTATTTTTATTGGTTTATGTTTGCAGTCCATACTGTTTACATTCATGGTATGGGGTTGGTGCTTATACATCTTAGTTCCTTTTTCATCTCCTTTCCCTCCTTCCTCTCCTTTCCCCCTCCTTCTATCTCTTGGTCCCCTTTCCTTCTGCAAAAGATGTATCTTTTATTTTGCACTTTCTTTAGGTTTTGGGTTTCTCACATAAAAGAAGCCATGAAGTATTTAAGCTTGTGTGTCTGACTTATTTCACTTAACGTTATTGTTGTGGTTTAGGTCTAGGTGTCCCCCTCAAAGCCTCATGCAGTCATAGGTGGGGCTTTTTCAGAGGTGGCTGAATCTAGAGTGTGTGACTGATTCATGGTACAATGCTGGGATTCAGGGTGCTGGGATTAGGATGGGTGATCACTAAATCAGCCCACTGATTCATTCAGCACCACCCTAACCCCCTTAGCCTGGATACAATATAAAAGACAGAAAGGGGCTTCTCTTGGCTCGTTTGCTTGCTTTGCTGCCTTCTGCCCACCATGAACTGTTTCTCCTCTGTGATCCCACCCTGCCTCGGAGCCAGCCGATTACTGACTGAAACCTCTACAAACTGTGCCCTTCATAAACCTTTTCTCCCTTAACTTGTGAGTGTTGGATATTTTGTCTCACCAATAAGAAAAGTAACTAAAATGGTGATGGCCCCACATAAGTACAGCCAGTTACCCTGGAGGTGTCCCCAGCTACACTCCCATGAGTAATGAGTTTCAGTTGTTCTGTATCCTGGCGCTACCCTCAATTCTTTGAATTTTAGGGATTAATGGGGGGGCAGTGACTCTTAGAGACTTCCAGCTTCCTGACTTCAGATCCCCGAATTAGTGCCATCCCTGCCTTCTCCCACAGTGGCAGAAGAGGGAGTCAAGAGCCCCACTGCCCACCTATGCTCTGGAGCTGCTGGTTGTGTACGCCTGGGAGAAGGGCTACGGCGCTGAGAACTTTGACCTCACCGAAGGTGTCAGGGCCATCCTGGGACTGATCCTGAAGTGGCAGCAGCTGTGTGTCTACTGGACAGTCAACTACAGCCTGAAGGATGAGACCATCAGGAACAGGCTCCTGGGCCAGCTCTGGTCCCAGAGGTACCCAGCTTCCCACCCCAAGGTGCACCCTGAGAATGAAGTCTCTGCCCCCACCCACCCCAGGCAGCCAGGAACTCGAACGAGGTGCATGGTGTATGGGGAGGAAGAAGGCCAGGCCTACGCTTTTCATCTTCCAAGCTGTGGTCCTGTTTTGTCCTCAAACAAACACTGCAAAAGCGCTTTGCCTTCTAGAAGGAAGGGGCGAGGATAGAAAGGGGGCTTCCAGGAGGAGGAGGCTCCTCCATGGCTTTGTTAATGGTCCAACACATCTCTTTTTTTTTTCTTTTTGTTGGGGTGCAGTGCTGGGGATTGAAACCAGGGCCTTCACGCTGAGCTACGTCCCCAGATCATTTTTTCCTCCTGTTGCTATTGTTTTGTTTTGTTTTGTTTTTGAGACAAGGTCTTGCTAAGTCTCTTAGTTGCCCAGTTGTCTCAAACTTGTGATTCTCCTACTTCAGCCTCCCAGAGTGCTGGGATCATAGGCATTAGTCTCCAGCTTAACAAAGAGCAGAGACGGCAGATCCACAGGGGTCAAGCTCTTCTATGGAGTACCCCAGTCTGCAAAAATCAAAATCCGGGGGGCCAGGTTCTCACTCAAGGCCCTTTCCCCAAAACTGCTCTCTTCTTCCACAAGCAGCCCCACTGATCTTGTGTCTGCTGGATTCACAGGCCAGTCATCCTGGATCCGGTGGATCTAACCCACAATGTGGGTGGAGACATCCCCTGGCTGCACCTGCAGGCGGACGCACAAGCCTGGCTGTCTTCACTCAGCCCCACCCCAGCCTGGAGTGTCCCGGTAAGGGGGTTCCTGGGGGCCTGGCTCATGGTGCAGGAAAACCATGCCTGTGTTACTTTTCTCTCCCTACTGAGACAAAATACCTGACACTCAAAGCTAGAGGTAAGGGATTTATTCAGCTCACAGTTTGTAGAGGTTTCAGTCTGTAATCCGCTGACTCCGAGGTAAACAGGCACTGCAGAGGAGAAACAACATGGCTATGACAAGGCAGCACCCTTAATCCTGGGCCCTTGAGCCTGGCCTTGCATGATGAATCAGTTCCAACTTCACACACTCTAGATCAATCCTATGGCCACATGGGCTTTGGAGGGACTTCTGCACCCAAACCATATGTGCCAACACCCACATGCAGGCCCACCCAAGGGCACTGGTCTTGGTTTCCCATGATGGCTGCAACTGGTGGGGGCAGGGGGCTTGAGACAACAGAACTTTATTCTCCTACAGCTCTGGGTGCAGAAGTCCAAAGTCAAGGTGCTGGTCAGGCCGTGCTATCCCTGAGGCTCTGGGGAAGACCGTGCTAGGCCTCTTCCAGCCTCAGTGGCCTTGGCCTTCCTCGGCCCGTGTCCTTGTCACTCCAGTCTCTGCCTCCCTCACTTTACGCCTTCCCTGTGTCTTTACACCATCTTCCCTCTGTGCATGTCCATCTTGGTGTCTGTGTCCTCATAAGACACAGGATCACGCTGAATTAGGGCTCACACTGATGGCTCAGCTTAGCCCAATCCCACCCTAAAGACCTCATCTCCAATGCTATTCCCGAGTACAGCAGGTCAGAATGCCTGCATCTTTTACAGGAAACATGTAGGGTTCTGTCCTTTCACTACAGTGACTGTGACATGTAAAAAGGAAAAGACAAGAGAGGCACACGCAGGAAGCAGAGAAGGGAGGTGCCGGATCAAGAATATACCTTTCCAGGCCCCACCAGGGACCCATCTCCAGCCAGGCCCCAGCTGCAATTGTGAGGTATAGGGAATGGGGAAGGGGACATTGCCAGAACCTCTACTGTGGGTTCTGATCTTCTGTGAGCCACTACAGCATAAGGCAAATTAAAGATAAGAACAGGCAACTAGACTTCAAGTGAAGAAGCTGGGCTTTGGGACCTGCTCAGTACTGCTCTGGGCAGCAAAGACAAAGGCCCCCAAGAGCATCCAGTATTTATTGAAAACAATTATGGGAAGGAAGAGGGAGCCAGGTGTGCTCTGAAGGCATCTAGTGAAATACTGCCAAACACCTGGCATGATGGCACCAGGCAGGGCTGTTAGGAAATAAGCTTTGCTTCCTTGGATAGAACAAACTGGTACTGAGAACAGGTGCGATTAGCAAGCAATCTATTGGGTCAGTGAGAAGCCATAACTCCAGGGAAAGGATTTTAATTGAGGTTATGTTGACCTGAGCTGCACGTGACTCAGCAGAGCCCTGCCATTGCACAGACCAGGGCTTAGGCCTTGGTGACAGCCTTTAACAAAGGAGCAATGCTAGCTCAGTTCTGCTACCTGGCAGGCCCATTTGAGCCACGTAGGCTTTGGTCTGACTCCTGATATAAAACAACAGAGCCGAGTTAAGGGAGGCGGGAAGCATGTGCCGCTCACAGCCTGCTAGTCCTGGGCAGGGGCGTCTGCTACAGTGAGTCATGAATGGACATCCTGTATCTAAGCCACAGCAATGTCCTTGGGGACACCCTGTTCCAGCCCAGAGCGTGCATGGCATCTGCTCCTGTGTCCCCTCCACTTTTGGTCCCTGAGGCAGTCGTTTCTGCTCTGCAATCTCTGCTCCAGGCCTCTGAGCCCGTCCTCCTCCCTGCTGTTGGAGATCATCCAAGCCCAGAAGCCACCAGCCAAGCAATGTTCCTCAGGGCCCCCTGCACACATATGCACACACACACACGAACATCCACACCCACCTGCGTGTATGCACATGCCAGGCACACACTCATACACATGCACGCTCATGTGTGCACACACACGCACACTCACACAGCATATCACACTCACACATGACAACACACCCTGCATGCTCTGCCCTGTGCGGGGGCCTCCCCACTCTCAGCAACTGTGAGGTCCACTTCCAGCATCTGGGGTCACCAAGCTCTCCCTTTGGCTGTCATGGTGGGTACCCGCACACCCAGCTGAGCTGAGCCGCTTTTTCTTGTTCACTGGCAAGGGAACAGCATCTGCTCACAACCATGCATTCACCTCCTCACACTGCTGCTCAAAAGTGCCCCACAGGTAGTGGCTTGAGACAACTAAAATTTAATCATCTATGGCTCTGGGGATGCAGAGTCCAAAACTAGCCTCACTGTCCTGGAATCGAGGTACAGAGGCTCTGGGGAAGGATGTCTCTGCTTTTTTTTTTTTTTTTTTGGTACCAGGGATCGAATTCAGGCCCTTTTGCTTGCTAGGCAGGCGGCAGAACCACTGTGCCAAATCTCCAGCCCTCTATCTGCCTTTCTGACTTCCTGAGGCTGTCTACGGCTCTGGGCTGTGGCCCCATCTTCCACCCCAAAGCCAAAGGCATCATCTTCTGGTCTCTCTCCCCACCTCCGTCCCACATCACTTTCTCCCACCTAAGCCTTCTGACCCAGGGTGACACTGAGGCCCTCTGGGTAACCCAGGGCACTTCCCCAACCCGCGGTCCTCTCAAGCCTGCCAGGAGAAGCATCCAGGTCTCCTGTGGGCAGGAAAGAGAGGAACTGGGAGTTTTCATTCTGGGGTCCTGGGTAGCACCCTAAACGCAGGCTGCTCTTGGACTCTGTTGTTGCTAGGACGAAGGCTGGAGAAGTTGCCTGGCCAAGGCTGAGAGCAGGACAGAAGTGCAGGCAGGCAGGGAGGGAAGGAAGCCCTGGGGGGCTTCTGGGGAGGCTCACCCCAGCTCTCCACTTCCCCGGCTGGCGCCGCTCTTCATGACTCCAGCCCACCAGCTACACCAGTTCGTCAAGGAGTTTCTCCAGCCCAACGAAGATTTCCTCAAGCAGACCTTGAAAGTGGTTGACGTCATCTGTAGGTTCCTTAGAGAAAACTGCTTTCCACATTCAACTACCAAAGTCCAAAGCATCGTCAAGGTGAGCACGGCCCTTCTCCCAGGGTGCTACGGGAGGGGAGCTGGGCGGTCACCCCAAAACCCTGAGGGAGAGGAGTGGGAAACACCGGCGGTGAGGACACCAGTCTTCCGTGGGGCTGTGTGGGCCAGTGTGTCCCCAGTGGCCCATTGCCCAGGCTGGGGCCTTCCTCAGCGCTGCAGGGCATGCGATGCCTTGCTCTGGTCCCTCTGTCTTAGAATCACCTCCTCCTTTCCAGGTCTTTGTGCTCTTTTCTCCCGCGGAACTCTTCATTACATTCTGGGCCCCACCCTGACCCGGAAAGAGCTCGAGATCCTTAACCTAATCCCATCTGCCAAGATGCTCTTGCCAAAAGGGGTCACACCCATGAGTTCCCAGCAGACTGGTCCCCTGGGGCCACATTCAGCCTGAGCTGGGCTGCGCTCAGCCAGAAAAGGGCCCCACTCCTGTCAGTGACGGAGCCCAGTGCTGCCCCTCAACTGAGCCACACCTGCAGCATGGGTCACTCATGTCCACGGCTCCAAGGCCACTGCTGCCGCACCTGCTTCCCTCTGTCTGTGGCCATGAGCATGTGCACACAGGTGCACACACATGCACAAGACGGTCACAGGAGGGAGGAGGGCAATGTTAACGTGTGGGGCAACATGTGGTTCAGGGAGAAACCTATGTAGCAGAAACCTCAAAATCTATAATCTGGCCCTGCATAGTCCGGAGACCTCTGCACCCCAATATTATTCTGCAGACTACAGGAAGAGTCATTGGATACACTGGGCAACAGAGTAGAACTTTCAGGGCAATCGGTTTGATTTTTTCAGGTGCAGGAGATTCAAATAAAGCTGATTTCCATAGGAGAGATCTTTAGGAAACTGACTGGAGACACGGTTCATTTACACCTGGCCCATTGCTTGGTGTCAAAAGGACACAAGAAGAAAACACATTATTGTTAGGTTGTGAAGAGAAACCTTCACCTTTGCCTCCTGTGACCCCTGAACCTCAGCCCTTGGGGACTGGGGATGGGCAGGAGGTGCTGGGATTCAGCCTCCCTCTCTCCCCAGGGAGGGTCAGCCACCAAAGGCAGGGCTCTGAAGACCGGCTCTGATGGCGATATCATTGTGTTCCTGGACTCGCTGAAGAGCTTCCCCTCCCAAAAAATCAATCGGAGCACAGTCATCCAGGAAATCCGCAAGCAGCTGCATGCCTGTCAGCAGCAGCAGGAGTTTGAGGTGCAGTTTGAGGTTTACAGATGGATGTTTTCCAGCGTGCTCAGCTTCTCACTGAGCTCCAAAGAGCTCAGAGAAAGCGTGGACTTCAACGTGCTGCCTGCCTACAACGCACTGGGTGAGGCACCCGACCCTGGCTCTGGGGGAGGGAGACCGGAAGTGGCGTGGCAGGCAGAGGGGAGGGACAGCTGGGGGATCAGGACGAGGCTGGGCAGACGCTCCGGGTCCCCAGCTCCCCC